CTGCAGAATTCTTATCTGCTCAGTGTGTTCGAAACAATCATCTCATCGATATCGGTCTTTTTTTTTTGTACATTTCTATGTTTTCTAAAACAAAAAACAATGATACGAAGAAACATATGATTTAATTTAGTTTTAAAATATAATAAAAACTGAAGAAAATCCTTTTTTTTTTTTTCATAATGATGCCTTTTATGGATCAAATCATCAAAGATAAAAGATGCATTTTACTCAAGAAAAAAATCAGCCCTGCAAAATAAACATTATTAATGAAGTTGGCAGGGTGTGAAAAACATCAAATAAAAACTTTGCATCCGAGTTCAATCACGGAATATTGAACAAATCAATCATAATCGCCCCAAAACACAATCTGCGTTGCGGACAGGCTACAATTTCCAGCGAGAGGAAAAAAACATTTGGTTGCTTTTGATCAGCGAGACAAGCCCAACGATATCCCCGCCATTAAACGATCGCATCCGGGTCTTCGCACTTAATTACGGTGATTATAGGAGCGATAAGGAGACAACAATAAGAGAAAGTTTTAGGATGCAGCGCCCGCTCGTGTCTGCGTGTTCAAACACTTGTTATTTACCGGCGACGCGTTTATTTCAATTACCGGCTGCATGTCAAATTAGCTCTCGCAGGTAGTGTTTATTAGCACAACAAAATAATAAAACACACACACACACACACACACACACAGGAGGGGGAGGAGAAGAGAGGGGGAGGAGGAGGAGGAGGGAGTGAGGGAGGAAGAAGTCGAGGAGTTGGTTCTGCTTTTAATAAAGAATGAGGAATTAGTGCATATTGATAGGACTTAATAGACCGAGGGGGGTCATCAAAGTAGTCGCGACTGAGCGATCCATGCTTAATTTACTATCAGTGTCATGTTATGGGGGGAGAGCGGGAGGAGAAGGGGGGGGGAAAGGATGTTGGGCGTGCGTCATGACGCGTTAATATTCCCAAATTTAAAAAGTTGCCCTTTTTTGGATGAACATACACAATTAAAGTCGTGAATACATTTTAATGTATAATAATTCAGATCGACTCTATGTGGTATGAGGGGTGGAGCAGGTTTACTTCTGCTTTTTGCATTTTTAATTCCTCATTATTATTCCCTTCTCCCCCAGAGAGGCGGCGGTAAATAAAACTTGGTGAGCAGCAAAAATCCCCCCCTCCAAAAAAAAAAAAAATAACTCCTGCTTTTAATGATCTTAAAACATTTGATGGACATGATTTCGAGGCTGCTCACCAGCTACTCAGTAATTGTTAATGTCGCGAGAAGAGGGATGGTTAACTGGTTTTCTGATAATTAACCAGTTGGAATTTGTCTTTTTGTTTGTTTCGGCCGCAGCGCCTCTTCGGATCCAAATTTAAATAAACTTCTCTCTCCCCCCCCCCCCCCCCCCCGCGGACATCGATCCAGCCCAGAGGTGTGAAACGGACATTAATTTTAGTTCACTTCTCGCTGCGCAAAGGAGGGCAGCACGAGAGATCAATGGCGAGCAATAACAGCTGACTGCTGAGAGAGGAGGAAGAAGAGGACGACAGAGGAGTCGAAAACGCTGACAAATAAATCATCTTTTGCTACTTTTCCTCCAATCTCGACACTTCCCCCCCCCCCTCTTTTAGCGCGTGCAGACTGTTCCTGGGGGACGGGAGGAGAGAGAGGAGGATGAGGCCTAAATGAATAAGTGAGAAAAATAAACAGACGACGGATTCTCTGGGAGATGAAATTAAAGAAAAAAGAAGCAGTGGTATTCAATTTGGTTGATGAAAAACAAAATGTGCAGACTTTATTATGACGTCATGTAAAAGCTTGCTTCATGATGTGTCATTTAAAATAATAGTCTTTAATAGGCTATTATATTATTTTGGACTGAAAATGAGCAACATCACGAGATCAACTGCGATCTGTGGCAGAACTATTTGTAATGCACATTAAATCTTACATTTCAAACTCAAACCCAACATAACAATTTGAATTATTATTTTCCTGCAGACGTATAAATAAAAGTGAGATGCCTTCACGGCCCGTGTAAACGTGAAGCGGCGGCCTATAAATCACTGAGCTCTGAAACCTGAAGCGGAAAATAATGAAACGATACAGAGAGTGACACGAGGTGCATCACTGTGATGATGACAGCGTTTTACTGTGAAGAGCAAAATAAATAAAAACACATTTTAACAGACACAAAGTCTCATCCTGTAGCTCGAAATTCAGCTTCAAATGGTCTTAATTTTTTAAAAAAAGGCCTCTAATGTAACACAGGATTCACTACAAATGACGAGACTAAAATGAAACAAAACTTTATCATTAACATTTATAAACTGATAATAATTTAACTACAATTTAAATTAGGGTAGCCTATGTATTTCATGAAAACACATTATTGCGTTTAACCGGAACCATTCAAATAAATGTACACTCTGCAAATTACTAGTCCTAAATATTATTAATAACTCGTTTTTTTGAATGACTGCATTAATTAATATGTATAAAGTGCAGAGTAATGGGCTGAGTTACGTGGCCTAATGGAGAAATGACAAGTCTTATAACCGGATCGTTAGAGGAGGGAAAGAAAAGTGCTCCGTTTTCCTCATCACTACATTTTGTTAATAAAAAAAAAATATAAAGCTTTGAATAAAAAAAAGTACAAACAAATGATCCTTTAATGTATTGCATAATGCAAATGAACATATTTAAATAAAATGTTTGTGTTGCACGTCCTCCTCTACAAATGTTCCACTTTAAAGAGATAATTATTGCTTTCTAATGGGAGTGTTTGGAAATGAACAGACTCGGCTGATCGTTAGAAGTCAGGGCTGGTTGATCTTACAATCAATAAAATCAATTAAACTGATTCATCAGGCTGGCTTCACTGGATCCTGATCTGCAGTTTGGGATTTTTTTTGGAGGAACTATAATTCATTCTTCACAGCTCAGTTCAGTGACCCGCCTTCAGTGTGCTTTTTACGCGCTATTTGTGGCAGGCAATGACAGGACTGTTTAAACCAGGAAATAATCACTAATATGTCTGCTGCGTTTTTCCCCCCACACTAATGATTGTACTATTCCCTGCATGTTCTGACTGTTGCGGATTTGTGCTGCAGTGCATGGGTCGTGAGGTCTCACTTGATTGCTTCATGACCCTCTTTAAAAATAAATCAAATTAAAAAAAGCGGTACGGATGTGATAAAGACGAGGGGGATACATAAAGTAAGATAAGAAAAAATAGAAAAAAAAGTCACATAAAAGTATATTTCATCAGCGGGTTGAATTGTCTTTGTCCGTCTCTCAGAATAAAAAGTTAAACTTATTGTGAAAAACTAATAAAACAGATTTAATTTCACCTGAAGAGCCAACGGTATAAAACATCTGAGAAATAAAAGGTCGAAAAACTCGAACTTCTGTCAGAAAGCTGCGAGCTGTTTGACAAAAGTAAAATAATGTAAAAAAAAAAAAATTCTTCTAGGAGTGGTCGTCGTTATTCCCCCTGATGATAAACTGAAAAAAAAAAATTGAAAACTGAGTGTTGTATCCGGTCAAACCGACGCAGCAGCAGCGGGACCTTGCGCTTTGGGGGAAGCCGACTTTGGCTCACTGTGGTCGGCCTGGAAGCGGGAGGGCCCCCGGGACCTCCGCTGGCTCTGCGCTGCTTATTTAGGGGGAGGATGTAAATTATAAAGGCTCCCTAGTTAACAGGTGTTTCCCAACTGTGTGTGCAGGTCCGTGTGTGAGCACATGCACATGTATGCTCAGCAGCGAGTCGCCTTCTTTTTTTAAATTCAAGCCGTCTGTTACTCCTTCAGAGAAACAGAATAATTTGTTGCGTATTTAAGGGGACTTGATTGACTCACGCTTAAAGGGTGGAAGTGTTTCTGTGAAACGCTCCTCAGTTTTCATCCTGTTTTTTAACTTGTTGTTTTATTGCCCTATAATGTAGCCTAACATATTTGTTTTTAATTCAAAGTAATATCAGAGATTTGTTTACGGATACTAGTGACACCATTATTTAATAAATTCAGTCAAGAGGTTTATCATACATTAAAATCTATTTGTATTATTCATTAAAATGTGCTTGATGTCAGGCAGTAATGGACCAAACTAACGGGACCAATGCAGCAGATTCTGCCCCATGCTTCTCTCCTCAAAGTGCTTCAGTTCTCCAAAGAAACGTTATTTTCTCTGTTACTTTGACATAAATTCAGCGAGCTTTTAGCACTGCTGTCTGATGGAGCAAAACTATTCGATTTTTTTTTTAAAAAGGACCAGCTGTGGGCCTGCAGACTAACATTCATTATAGAGGAGGGAATAGATCTCTGAAGCTCTGCAGAAATAAAAAAAAATATTTTCTCTGTGAGAAGTTAAATGTATTTTTTATCAATTGTTTTCTGACGTTTTAAATTTATAAAATGATTTAATCACTCATTTCTAAAGTCAGCTAAAGAACTCGCCGTGCCTTAGAGCAAATAGATAATAGAGATATTTTGAAGCTATAAGTTATAACACTGAAGTGAGGCGGTGCAGGACACTTGTAATGTACTTGTGTATGTGGATGGTAATGTATGCGTAATGGCATTGACACGCGCACTATCCTGATACAAGTGTTTTCTAGAGGACACTTTCTTGTCTGGGAACCTCGCATGTGTATGTGCGTGAACACACACACATACACACACATGCTCAGATAGACAGGAACCGATAACAACGTGCACGTACTCACGCGCAAATGCGTAAAGTCCGTGTCCAAGCGGGGACAGACCGTGCCTTGACTTTTTCTATTAAAAAACATTTATTTATTTTTACGCGTGGAGACGCCGCCGCACAGCGAGCAGAGCGAACAATCCCTGAGAAAGTTTATGGAAACGAACACGAACCCCGATTTCAACACACAGAGAGACGCGGCGGAACGCGAAAAAGGCGTGAAAGCACAAACTGTATGAGCTTCAAACCCAACAACAACAACAACAACAAGAAAAAGACAGTCAGTGTTACTCACCTCGCCGCGGCAGAATCCGCTTCTTCTACAGACAACTCCTCGGCTTCCGGCTTCTTTTTTTTTTATCCTCACAACAAACGGAAAACTTTTTCTGCGGAGTGGGAATCTCAGCAGCACTGTCCCCTCTAGCTCCTGCGCAGCGGCAGCGGAGATAACGGGAGGCGCTTTGTGGAAGAAAAGTAGTTAACACCTCCCTGTTAGGTTAGCAAAGCGCAGCCAGAGAGGAGGACAGAGAGAGAGAGAGAGAGAGAGGCTGACTTTCCACAAACACAGAGTAAAGTGGGTATCAATAGCGCAACAGCGCGTACAGCCCCTCCGCTGAAACACCGAGAGGGACGATCAGTGAGAGGAGAGGAGAGCAGAGTGGAGCCGGTGAGAGGGAGCGCAGGATCGCAGACACGGTGGCAGGCAGTGGTGGTGGTGTGAGGGGACGAGGGGGTGGGTGGGTGAGGTGGGGGGGTCTCACAGTGCTCTACAGCGACGTGTGTGAGGCTGGAGCTGAGCTGCGCGAGGGCTGAGTGGGGAATGTGGGGGAGGGTGAGGAGGAGGGTGGAGGGAGGGGTGTCCAGAGCGCACCGAGGTGCAGTGCTGCCGCGCAGCGCTCGGGTCGCTCATCGACTGACAGACAGACAGACAGACACAGACATACAACCTCTCTCGGTGTTTCTTGGTGAAATTACACATTAAATAAATATATATATTTTTTTTTGTTTTACTTATTTATATGTGTGAGCTTTTGGTTTATCTGGACTTAAACTTGGTCATATGGGCTCCCAAACTGCGCTCTCTCTCTGGAGCACTGTTTCATTTTTTTCTGTAAGCGTTCAGAGAAGCGGACAGTTAATGTGTCTGTCTTTGAAAGATCAAATCAATAGTAACAATATGAAAATATAATTTAAGAAAATAGACGGTTTTCTTTGCTCCATTTTTATTTAAATTACCAATAATAACAAAAAGAATAGGTGTTTTAACGTTGAGTCTATGAAACAAGAACGACTGTATTTGTCCGTGAGCATGTGTGGACACTGTTTCCCATAACCCCCCAGTATCATGCCTCCCCCCCGTCGGTCTGCTGTGTCGTTCCCCTGGGTGATTTCCACTGCGCTTTGTGCGCAAAGTGAATGAATTATCCCCCTCCTCTTTCTCTCTCTCTCTCCCTCTCTCTCTCTTTCACCCGTTGGAGAGACTGCTCACCATAAAGCCAATGAAGTCCACCTCTTAACAAAAAGAGGTGGACCAGCAGACACTCTTATAAAGTGCGCACTAGAGACAGAAGTTAGTGAGACGGAGGGAAGCTGAGCCGTGTGGCCCGGCAGTGATCAACCCCAAGCTCCCAAGACATTCTCAGATTTGATTGTTTAAGGTTCCCAGTTTATAAAGTATTGGTTTGCACTCGATCTTGCGTCATTTTGACAGACGTGGCAATTAAAATGTGAACATTTAAGTCAGACTATTGTTGTACTTTTCATCGTATTCTTCAGTCTCTCTCCAATCAACTGTCTGCAAAGTTGAACTCAGTGGACTGTTTTAGGTGGTTATACAGTGTGTGTGTGTGTGTGTGTGTGTGTGTGTGTCAGACTGAGGAAGACAGTAAGCTCTTGTCTACCTCTGCACTACACCCCCCTGCTGGACACATGTGGAACTGGCCCACACTTCTGTTCTAACTTCTTTTTCTTCTCTCCTCACTTTGAATTTACTGTTTGCCTTTGAATGGTTCTGCTAGAAGCAAAATTATTATTCATAGTTTTTGTGCACTTAACAGGTGAATCAGATTGGAAAACTGTGACATAAATTCAGTTTTTAAAATAATTCAAATGAGGATTAATAAAAAGAGCACGCTGTACTTTAAAGTAAAAACAGAGCTGATTTCATGCACTAAAACACATGAGGTTAAAACACATGAGGTTAAAACACATGAGGTTAAAACACCTGGTGGCAAAAAACGTCCAATTACATGCATCTCACCGTCATTGGCAGGACAGTGGGTGTGGAATTGTTTTAATGCACTTCCATGCCAGTCTCCTGAAAGTTCTGAATACTGGGCTAAACTGGGGTACTGTAATGTGAAGTGTGAAGATTTTGACTTCCACTCATGATCTGAAATCTAAATAAACCAAATGTTAAGTTGTGTAATGGTTGTATTTTGTCCTCATCATACAGTTTGTGTTTCTGGCCTAAAGTTCATCATGTGTGAGGGTTTTGATCTGGTTTCACCCTTTAATATACCAAAGCTTTAGGTAACAATGCCGTGGGAAAAGTGAAGAGCTTTGTGTGTGTGTGTGTGTGTGTGTGCACTGGGTGGTCCCCACACACATGACGGCCACTAGTAGCACTAGCAGTGCCATTAGTGCTGTGTTGTCTTGCTAATAGGCTCAGTTTGGAGTCAATGGGCTTACTGAGGAAGAGGACCATCCATGTATTAGATCCCTCTCCATTCAAAGTCTAATGGCAGCCTTTAGTCCGGCCCTCTGATGTTTTTAAATGCTGCCTCTGTGTGTGCTGACTAGGAAGCACTTTGATAGCACCTGTTTTACTGTTTCAGGCATCTGCACCACAAATTCCCCCGAACTCTGGAGCTTTAAGACATTACCCAGGAAGAAATCAGAGGAGGAAAGGATACCAGGAATGTGCCTGAAGCTGTGCTAGACAGTGATACATTTGTACAGACCAGTTCATCTGGATTACAAAATAAGTATATATATTCATCCAGAGAAGTATCAGATATCTTTGATTCTCTCCATACACACATGGTGGATAATAGGATTCGATCTGAGATGCTCACAGCATGAAACTGTTTCAGAAGTTTAAAACTGTTCCTTCCTCAAACTTAAAAGCTCTTTTCACACATTCACTCCAGAATATTTCACACTGCCCTGAAGCCTGAAATCTTCCTGAGATCATGTCCCTCACAGCGGGAAGGTTTCCCTGTCGTACGGGGAGGGAGGACCTCAGCTGGCAGGATATGATGTAAAAATGACGCGTCATGATGGAGTACGAGCAACAGAAGCAACCTTTTCCCCTTTGTATCAATGCTAAGTGTAATCGAATGTATTCACAATACAAAGTAAAGAGCGGGGAGAAGAACAGAGAACTTAAACAGTGACAGTGAAAAACTGGTAGTATGATTAACAGTTAAAACATGGTCAACCTTACAGCTCTTGGTACACTCACTTTACTTTGGGTGCTAAATCCCTCTAGTTTATGGTGATATCTGAGGGAAGACATCAACATGACTTCTGCTATGCTACGCATATATACTCATCTACTTCCAGATCAAAGTCCAGCACGAGGACTTAAAGAATGCGCAGAACGCCTTGTCCTGGTTTGGGTCTGATTGAGACATATACTGTACATGCAAGACTAAATCGATCCCAAAGCGCATTAACTAAGTGTGTAAGCATGACTTTAAAGATTTCAGCCTGACTAACATGTTGACACATATTTTAAATATACTTCTTACTTTTCATCCCATGTATCACCAGCACAGACTGTGTTGAAGCAGGCTAAACTTTTCTTGTTTTTTGGCAGCAGTGATCTGCATCAGCACCCCCACTGAGCCAATGAACAGCTTACATTCAAATAAATGAGGAGGGTGTTGATTTTCACACACGGCCTTTGTCTGAACATGGCCTCAAGAGAAGAAAACGATTGTTATTTTGTAGTTTATGTGACAACAGACAAATACATTAAGAGTCAAAGTACCTGTGTTCCTAAATGAAAAGCCATCCTCTCTAGAACTCCAGAACTCCCCGACTGCATTGCATGTTAGCAGACACAGGTCAACATCAGGGCTTGTCTTGTTTTCCAGCAGATTTCTTAGCATCCATCTGCACTGAGTCATGTCCTTGTGTTATGAAACCCCTGACATCTCCTGTGAAATGAAAGAGTGATAATGAAAAGGCGAGCTGACAGCAGAGGGCCGGGGCTGCCCTCTCCCCGCTGGCTTCACCTCTGCTCGGCCGCGTTTGTCCTTAAATTGAATCGTACTTTTTCAAACTGTGAACCAGGAGGGCCGGACTGAGGCGGGCGGACTGGAGTGGTTGTTAAAGTTTCTTTTTTTTTTGCTTTCTTTATGATGCTTGTTGGCTTTGCTATCAGGTATTCTCTTAAAATGGTGCAACAGCAATTTATTGGTGTGGTTCAGTTTTCTTCAGATAAAGACAGCAGGAAAGTAGCAGGAAACCTGATTCTACTTTACAGCCTGAACCCATAATCCTTTGATATTTTAAGGCAGCTCAAACTTGACCCTCTCGTACCACCGGGCGACTAAAGTAATACCCTGTTTGGTCCTTCACACCACGTGGGACTTAATTCCTTAAACAAACCATGTTTGAGTGTGATTTACAGCTAATCTGGACAGGCGACGGTCATTTCTATCTTTCCTTTAATAATTTACGATTGGTGGAATTTATAGCGCCGGCTCCCCAGCCGTGCATGCCGCCAAATCCATATGTCTGTAATATAATGAGATTTTAGCGCAGCGAGATTATAAATTATGGTGTGATTTGTTCTCTCGCTGTTTTGTCAGGGCATAGCCTCTGAGTGTGTGTGTGTGTGTGTGTGTGTGTGTGTGTGTGTAGCTTGGGGACATGGCTGGCATTTGGCTGCCACGGCGCTCTAATTGCTGACGTACACACAGATAGATGGGACCTGATGGTTGGCGTCGCCACTGGAGGCAGGGAGGAGGAGAAAAAAGGGGAAGTGAGAGACGAAAGGAGAAGAGGAAAGAGGACGAGTTTACTGGAGGAGATGAGGAAAGGAGGATAGGGAGGAGAAGCGTAAAGCGGGGCATGGATGGATGGATGGATGGAGAGATATGGTGATGCAGAGGGAGCGAGGCGGTTAAGCACAGAGGAGGAGGCATGTTTAGAGAAGAGACAGAGAGGAGAGGAGCGACAGAGGAGAGGACACATTCATCTCCTCTCAGATCCATTGCTCCAGGGAGCTGTTGGAAAATGAAGAATTACATGGCCCTGATCAGATTACATTACAGAACAAGTGATTACATGCATTTGACTCTTGTACAAAAGAAGAAGGAAAAAAAATGAAGGAAGGGAAAGGAAACATGCATGATCTGATTAATTATGTAATTATGTGCTATTTGTTCTGGCTGTGATACATGGGCAGCGTTGTGAGGGAAAGTGGATGGGTAATTTCATCTATGTTTCACGGCCTGCCGTCGAAAGCTGCTGTAATATAAATGTTGATTTTCTGCCACTCGTCACTTAAAGACCCGACTGTCGTACACTTGAAATCACTGATAAATAAAACGGATAAATAACAAAGGAATACAGGGACAGATTGAAATGTATCCCTTTATAAATGTGTAACACTGAAAAACCTTCACCGTTATGTTTTTGTACGAGCCGTCAGAGTAACCGTTTCCCACGTAGAGCTGTTCCTTGAGGCCAGTTT